CCCCCCCCCCCCACATGTGCAACACCTTCAAAACATAGCCTAAAAAGTTCTATTTCCGTCGGGTTCGACCAATAATCTTTCGAAACCATCCCCAAAATCGTCCACTGCAGGCTGATCCATTTCGACTCTCATTGCTATATTATGCATCAAACCAGACTAACTAAAGTTGAAAACTCATAATTACCCATTATGCACCTATTTCAAGCTAAATCACAAAAAAACGCTTCAGAAAAAGCAAAAAATGATCACTTCAGAAAAATGCGTCACCCGTGGGACAGCGCGGCTCATCGGTGAGCCGCGGAAGCGGAAAGCTTCGAAATGCGTCTGTCCCGCGCGCCAGACACGCAAAAAGGCGCGCTGTCGTCAAAGGGTTAATCAGCTAATCCCCCAGTAATGAGGCTATGTTTTTCTCCTATTCTTTTATTCCTTGTTATTCTTTTTGCTGATTTGTTCCCTTATTTAATTATCCACTCCAAGAGTCTGAAGAAGGTGAGCTATTTTTGCTATTACTAGTCTTTTTGTTGACTTATGCTAAAAAGTGAATGAATTTTGAAGGGCAATTTTGCTTTCTGAAGTCAGCTATTCGCACTAGGACCCACACGTACGCAATGACACGCATTGTATAGCTCGTCCAAACACCCCCTCTTCATTATTCTACTCTTCTTCTCGTTCAGTCCCCTTTTTAATGACTCTTTCTAAGCCTTTTATAACTTTGGAAACGCCGAATCGCGCAGTTTCTTCGCCATCATCGCACTATTTCCCACCTTATCTTCCATTTTATGTCATAATCTGGATTGCACAAAATTATCGTTAACCAAATGCGTTGACGCTGACTGCACGCTGTTGATGAAATCCTAATTTTCCAAGTTCACTGTCAATATGATTATTACAAGATCGTTATCGAATTTTGCTAGTACTCCTTTCGACGGCCTTTTTTCCGGTTCAAGATGAGCTTTTACGTAGCGAGTAGAAACATCATGGCTGGCTAAACTTTGGTAACCGCGTCGGTCTTACCAACGTCGGAGTCATTTTTTTAAGTTGACGAAGGTTGGGCAATATGCTTCATGTGCTCTCGCTGCATTCTTGTTGATGATGACACTTGTGGAGAGTTTAAACGTCACAAAAAGGACCGTAATATGCCAAATATTCTTGATCGTAGCACAGAGTCCTCTCACAAGTCAGATTAAGTTTTCAAATGCTTAGCTGGGTTGCTCATTCAAGTTTTACAAGGCTGGCGATAGTAGACAAAACTTCGAAACTCTCGGAACTTGAACCTGTACTTGTGCTCTCCGGGCACCCTGTTTTTAATCTGACCGAGACCTCTCTTGTCCTCGTCCTCTCAATGTCTTCTATGCTTTCAATTAGTCATGAGCACTCACAGTTACAATGTGATGAGCTGGTCAGCCAACATCAGCAGTGACCCACTAAAATGTAAGCTTTCTCGCGAGCACAAGTACGGGTTTGAGACCCGTCCCTGGCTGGAGTTTTGTCCATAACTTGCCAACCGTTTTAAACTTTCGTATCGCGTGCTGCAGCGAAATAACAACATTCAACAAAAACATCAAATGAGGAAAAGATTATTGAGGTGTTCATTCGTATACAATGTTTGCAAAAATAAACATACGTGTAGTACGTCGGCTTACTACCACTTCGGAATTTTGCATCGCACAAAGGCCACTGAAGGCAGGCTGAATGTCTGGATGCATTTGCTCTGCAAAAGCCCTTGGTTATTACTGAGCCATATTCATGTTCAAAGAATATAAATAGGCATGCTTAGGAAACGAATCCTGAAGATCAAGAGCAATCCCATTGGGGTACGGTCAGGAGTAATTGTACTTGTACTTGTTCAGTGGAGCGAATATTTTTTTCTTTTTTTTTTCAATTTTTTTTCGAATCATTTCGAATGTAAGGAATCGCGATTTCTGCATCCTTGCATAAAACTCCTAGAGCCCTGGATATCCTTCTGAAGTTCTTGTTCCAAACCAGGAGCGGAGCAAGCAAGCTAGCCAGCCCTGTGGATATGTTTCTGTTGTGCACGGAAATAACCTTGGCAATAGTTGAGCTACGGAAGTGTAGTGGGGAAAAAACTTGAAACTGAACTCATCAGCTAAGTTCGTCTACTCAGGCATACTTTTCGTTTGTGATCCAGATTGGTTCTCCAAAATACCATGACTCCTTCTCAGATTCCTCGATTATTCCCGGTACTTCCGTATAATTCCAATAATCATATCTACAATTACAGTATTTGCAAACGTGAGCTAACAAAAAATTGAACGCTGTCGTGTGGCTTACGATTTGAGTGTATGTGACGCTTCATCGAGTTCATAGAAAAAATTTGAGACGATACCGTGGCTTTCTTCGTACAGACCTTGAAAAATCAACTCATGAAAAAATCATTGTATGGTATAAAATTACTATAGAGAATAATGTTCATTGAATTCTGAGAGCATCGCTTTCGTTGAACAGGGCGATTGCTTCCATGGAAATCTTTCAGTGAAGGAGCGCCCAGCTACATCACTTAGAATCGAATTTGTCAGTCAATAACTTATTTCAAAATCATGTAATTAAGCACTTCCTGATTGAAAGGTTTCATTGGAAGCAATTAGCTTCTAATTACGATTGCAGACTGTCTCGTTTGCACAAGTGCCCATCATTTATCTATGGTTTTCTCTGCAGATGTAATACTATCTTTAAATTTCCACTGTAGAGGGGGTGGTAACGTGAGGAAGTGAAGAATGAAGAAATGAGGGAAAAAGTAGACTGATTCTTAGAGAGAGTGTATAAATAGGATGGTAGTGAGCAATAAATCATTCTCCTCCTCGTCTCCTGTTCATACACACGAACTGGCGATCAGCCGAACGCGATGGAAGCAGCACAAGGACGAGGCCAAAGACAAAGACCAGCACAAGAAGTGAAGATGGAAACCGGCAACAGCGCCACAGGAAGAGCCACGATGGGAGATCCTGGTACTGAGGTGTACCGAGGTCGAGCCCCGGGGCCTTATGTTCCGGGGACATCGTGGCGGACCTGGTGGAAGCTGTTCGCCAACTTCCTCGTGTTGAGGAAATTAACAGAAGAGGGGGATCAGCGGCTTATATTTCTGCAAAAGTGGGTAACTCGAATTACGTGTTGCTGGAGTCACTCCTGCAGGGACGCGAATTGGAGGAAGTACCATTGAAGGATCTACGGGCAGCGATGGAGCAGCATTACCAGCTGAAAACCTGAACGATTCGGGCTAATGTCGAAGACACAGAAGCAAGGACAGTCGCTGCATGAGTATTACGCGGAGCTCCAGAAAGCGGCGAATACGTGTTGTTTCAAAAAAATCAAGGATCATCGGGATGCAGTAGTGACGATGGTTTTCATCGGTGGGTTACTTTCTATAGAGACGAGGAAGCGCCTTTTAGAGGGGAACAGCTATCCTCGAAGGAAGCGTTCGAGCAGGCGGAAGCTTTCGAACGTGTAGGAGTGAATGCTCCACACCCTAAGGAAGGCCCGCAACAAGTTCAGCCGGTGGGAGTGGCTCAGGTAAGAGCACGGAAAGATGAGCGTAACCGACAGAGGCCAGGGCGCGCACAAACGAAGGATCAAAAGGGAAGGCCTAGCAGGGGCCTAGCTCGGAAAGGTATGAAATTTAGGGTTTGCGGAGCGTTTGGCCATGCCGGTTGTAAGTGTTTTAGGTAGGAGAAGGCATACTGCAATGTATGCGGGAAGAGAGGCCACCTGGCAGTGACGTGCTGGAAGAGCCCCAGGACTGGCCAAAAAGTTTCCCGCCGAGTACATTGGTGTGAGGAGCCCGCTGGAAGCTCCGACAGTGAAGAGGAACTAGTGACTCAGAGCGTGAACAAAGTAGCTGTGTCACGACTTATCCACTGTCGTCGAGCTAGGCCGCGGAAGGTGACGCGGAACGGTGTGAGGCGAGTGGAGGACAGCCCGGAAACTGGACAAGGCAGTCCCATCGCATCGGCAGTCCGATGGGAAACAGGCACCAGAAATGTGGAGTGCCGGAATGGAGAGGTGGTAGCCGCTGATATGGTTGGAGATGTTGAAGTGGACCGGTGGTCTTGCGAGCCACCGAGAATGCTGGAGATGGAAGTGAATGGGAACAAGATCCCATTCGAGCTAGATACCAGTGCATCTCTTTCCATTATTGACGAGAAGACATGGAATAGGTTAGGTCAGCCACAGTTGAACAAGGCTGCGGTGGCCGCAACGGCATTTGATAATAATCGTATTAAGTTCCAAGAAAGAGTTCCACTAAATGTTAAGTTCGCCGGGAGAGAGGCGATAGTGGATGTTCATGTCTTTAAGGAGGCGACGCACTCCTTATGTGGTCGAGATATGATAAGAGAATTGCAGATAGATTGTGGACTACATTATGGGATGGTTCACAAGGTTAAACAAATGCCCAATATAGAAATCAAAAGAGAAATTGTGCATATGCTGGACAACAACAAGAGGTTGTTCCAAGATGATTTGGGCAAGTGCTCGGCTGCACGAGCAAAGTTGAAGTTTNAAGATGAACTAGTAGTGCCTAAGTTTTTCAGAGCTAGGGCAATACCTATTGCGTTGGGCCCCGTCGGGACCACAAGTGGCGGCGCAGAAGAAGCCGAGGCGTCGTCCGCAGCGCCGTGGCAGGGTGCTGTGATCGGCGCTGAAGGGCATACAGCGGGACCTCCGGAGAAGAAGTTACAGCCGATCTTCAAGAAGAGAAGTAAGAAGCCGCAGCAGCCAGTCAAGAAGACGTTCGAGGAGTTACAGTCGATCGCTAAGAAGACAAGCAAGAAGCCGCAGTCGGTCAGTGCGGCGACGATCGCGAAGCGCGGATCCGAGCCGTGAGGCTATGAGAGATGACCCTCAGTGAGGAGTGATATTTGTTTGATATAAATAATAAAAGTGTTCGAAATACTGTTGGACAGTGGGTGAGGAGGCGGTGACAGAAGGTTGAACCTCCTCACACCATAATGGACGCTCCTGGTACACGTAGTCCGTAGGGGTCACTAGGGGGAGGTGTAGAGGGGGTGGTAACGTGAGGAAGTGAAGAATGAAGAAGTGTGGGGAATAGTAGACTGATTATTAGAGAGAGCACAAAAAGGATGGTAGTGAGCAATAAATCATTCTCTCCCTCGTCTCCTGTTCATACACACGAACTTTCACCACTACGGAAAAGTAGATTATCGAGTTTGGAAGCCATTTCATTCTATGGTCGTACTAAACCATATCCGTTTTTAAGATAGCCGAAAACCTTGTGAAGTTGTGAACAAAGCTTTTTAAACCGAACGGTTGTGGCGAATCTTGCGAGTGTGTCTTCCATAAGAAGACAGTAACGTACATAGGTCACCCTGGGGTGATTCTACCGTTCAAATTGAACTTTGAATTCCTCTCAAAGATCATCTCATTACCGGCTGCTATAATTAGGTGTGTGGTTCGAGGGCAAAATTCACATGTTTTCATTGAAAACAAGGCACGCATCCAACGTATTGACCTCAATTTCGTTTTACTTTTTCTATTCCTATGATATCAGTGAATAGCGTTTAGGTTTTAGAAAGCGTTTCTTAAACAACTAAATGTTTCCGATATTCTTCTCAAGAATTATAACTGCTGCTAATGGCTGAACTGCTCATAGCAGATTTCGAATTGGTCATAAACCGACCCTGGAATGCGCCATACTGATCAACTCGATTCTGTATCAAAAGGGAGATTCAATGTGTGAAAACTTATAAGTTCAAGATTTCGTAAAGCTATCAAGCTTATTAACGCATCCTTCAATTTATTCAATTCAATGCATTCAATGCATTGGAAACTCGAATCAGGACCAAAATCATGAAAACACAAGAAATATGTCTCGCAGTTCACCGCAATTGAGGCGGTATTCCTCAGCATTCGAAGCTCTTTTAATTGGATGTGCTGAAAATTTGGTTGCAAAAAGATGCCGCATTTTCGACGGGTCTGGCATAATTAATAATGCATCTGACATGATTTGAAACTTTAGTGAAAGGGCGACCAGCAAGTTGTGTGAGAACTGCTCTTAGCTGAAAACACAGAAAATTCCCTCCTTAAGCCTTGAGTCTAATTTTGACAGCTGATTGTAGGAATCCGAAGCATTTATGGGGCTATTATTGGAACTCATAGAGTTAGCACTGCAGATTTCTTCTAAAAAGAAAACCTTCCCTTTTTCGTACTTATTTCGTGCTCTGATTCAAGGATATATTAAAATTGCTGTGTTCTATAAGAGTTTATACTTATTTTTCGCTATCATTTTGACAGGACCGTACAGAAGAATATGTTTACATTGTTTCACGTGCCCAGGTCTTGTCAACATATGTTCGCTAGATTTGAGTTTGTAAAAGGCTCATGGTAGAAATTGCCTCCAGAGGTTTGCTGGAACGTCTAATAAAATTAATCGATATAAGCAAAAACAGTAGTGTACTTGCGAATCATTCTTCAAAAAAATTCCCCCGTATCTGGTCCTCTTATTGTAATGATTTATTGTTAGTAGACTTGCCAACTCCCTAGCAGCGATTATAGAAAGCTAATGGGTTCTTTTATGGACAATGGCAAGACTGCAAGCATAAAATTTAACCTTTCTCGAATTCAGCTTATTATCCTGCAGATCTCAATCAGTTGAATATAAGGGAACCTTCAATCTTTATAGGAAAAACGAACGATTAGAAAGTGATTTATAACTAGTTTACTTGAGGTTGTTGGGAGTTAACTTCTCACGGAGGGAAATGTTGGGTCATATGTGGATAAGTTTTGTAAGAGATCGTATAATGGTTGTTCGATTCTCGGACCGTGCAGTGGAAGTTCTCCGGAAGTTCAGCGGGTCGCGCATCAAAAAAGAAGTTGGTCAACGTTGGTAGTTTCAAATTTCAACTTTTGTGTTCAACATAGGAATCGAAAGCATGATCTACAAACCTTTAAGAATAGAATACTGGGCATATCATCGTGGGAAAACAAATCCATGTGTATATATTCAAGTAATGAAGAACATACCTGTAGTCATGCTCAAATGGTTTGGTGCTGTATAGCTAACATACTGTGGTCTCACGCCTTTTGTGAACCGAAGATTTCTAGAAGCCCATGCATATATATTTGGAACCTTAAAAAATTCACTATTCGATGGGTTATCATAGTGTTTGAGAAATTATAAAAGTATCACTCACCAAATCATGTGTAACTAAATCGTTTCGGAAACCGTCCATTGATATGAGTAACAATTTTGGATGAGGGCTCAACGAGTTTATCGGAGGAAGAACGAATAAGATGGCACTTAACAGGGTGAGATCGACCATTTACTTTCTGGAATACTTTTATTAGCGCTCCTCTCAGGATCCTTCTAATCTCCCACTGCCTGAAGCTCCCTCACTCTTCATTAATCTCAAGGCAACACTGCTTTTTGGTACCTACATGAGCTTCCTTTTTCCTTCTTTACATGAAAAGAGCTATCTTCTGGGTTTGTTACTTTGTTTAGGCTAAAATTTATTGTTTATTGAGGAATTCCCATGGTATCGCTCCGAGTCTTTCCCGAAGTCTCGTTTTATCACATAGGTAACTTCTTATGGCAGGCAGACGCAGAGCAAAGGTTCCCCTCTCAGGTTTTGAAACTGGGCCCAACTAGGAGAGCCGAATGACTGCTGAGAGGCTTTTATCGCTACCATCTGCTGAAAAACCCAGAGAATGCAAGAAACACTTCAGAAAGCCACACAATGGTAGCATGAATACTTCTGGCCAAGTTGCACACATGAAGTGACAACAGTGACCGTGACAATCAATATGTTTTTATGTAGCAGCATATACATAGCATCGTAAACATGCATAGTAATCTGTTCTCAACTTATTTTGGCACATATTCATGCATACCCAAGAATCGGTATTTACTTTGCGTTCTCGGAAAGAGGAGAAAGAAATTTTCACGCCCCAGAATATCTCTTAATTTTTTCTTGATGCGCAGAAGGATGTGTAGGAGCAGGTCTTGGGTTGGGCTTGGACGCATGCGCGTTCTTGATGGTGTAGGTAGGTGTTCCAAAGGTTCTCCCATTTTACAACCGCTTTGTCCAGTTAATGTAATTCAGAATGAGTAAAAATTTTGCATGTACGCATTATCTTCTGTGCATATCCATTTGAATGTGCTACTAATCGAAATAGATGGGGCGGAGGTGGTATAGTGGCATGTGGTGCACTATCACACACGCATGGTCAAGAGTTCGAATCCTGTATCGATGTCCGCCTAGACCAACCAGGCCTTCCATCCCTTCGGGGTCGGTTAATTGGTACCAGATCCGTCTGGAAGGATGAAACAACTGACTTGTACATTGGCTGGTCACCGCAAGTCATTGTATAGGCCACATACGCTTCCAACACGCCACTACGATTTCGAATGATAGTCAAGTGTGAAGGCGCATCTCTCATACGGGATTGATTAACGCCCAAAGACTGAGGTGACTTCACTCGTAATAGATCGGATTGTAGCTCACCGGGGCTTTTCTTAATTCAAGTAGGCTCTGAAAAATCAATGAACTGTCAAGTTTGAATCTCAAGGAAACTGTACTGAAAGACGGAGGTCACGGAGTCAGAAGAGCACGAGCTTCACCATACAGTTTTGGTTCATTCCACTATGTCAAGTTATGCGGAAGATGCTCACCAAACTGAGTAGTAGAGCAAGCTGACTCACAAATGAAACATACCAACCTTTGGTATATTGCATTATCACCTATAAACACAGCACACAACTCACCCACTGTTTTATGCAATCAAAGGTTGACAAAGGTAGGAGAGATGTTTTCCCGATCTGTTTTCGGGATTCATCATGTTTTCCCGAACTTTCCTTTTTTGCCAAGTAATTTTTGTCCGAACTGATAGTTTTATCTTTCCGAATTATTATACATTATGCATATATCAAAAGAAGTATTTACTGTTCTCATTCTCGTTAAAGGACTATTTCCTAGCGCTTGTCAATCCTGTTACAGTACGTGCCACGCATTCTTCATTGGTTCAGAGTCGTGAGAGAATTGGATTTATCCGCCTCATTTACTTAGTGGTTCGTGATAGCTAGTCAATGTTCAGGTCCGTGTTTTCGATGTTTGCAATCTTATAAATATGATAGATACCTATCAGGCCATTACGGAGTGGTCTAACGCCTTTATTCCGCACTGAGTATGAGGGAATAGAGGCGTAACCTTCAACCTCGATTTGCGATCCTTTCTTTCGAGACGTACTCTCGATTTACTACAATTCCTAAGTTCATGAACCCTTAATATACAATGACAAGCCGTTCAAACAACCTTTACAACATTGATACTAATTTGATAGTGCACGACAGAAAAAGTTGCTTAGCGTTTATTCGTCAGTGACCGAGAGCTCCCTGATTCTTTGCAATCAAGTCAAGAAGGTCCTCATAGGGAACTTTCATATTGCAGCAAAATGTTAACAAGAGAACATTTTAAATTCGGTGGCTGTGTTTGACTGCAAGAGGAAACAGCAAAAACAGGTCTTTTCAACGTATGAGGCGTAGTTATAGGCTCTTGTCACACTCTAAAATTCATCACAGTACGAGGGGAAATGGGTGATTTTGGTGGAGAGTCAAAAGTCAATCAACAGGTTTTTTCAACGCTTTGTGTGTTTTCCCTACCGGATGAGTACACCGGTTCAGCCTTTTTTGAAACTCCGCCAGCTTCAACTCCCTTATAACTACATCCACACAGGAATATTCGAACATGAGAACAAGGAAGATCAAGGATCATCACTGTTGGGATGTAACACCAAGAACAAGTAAAGGTTGAAAGGTAGAGTAGCAAATGATCGGAATCAATAACTCTATTCCGCGAGAATGCTATTCGTCAAAAAGTTTGACGAGATAATTGGCCGTCTCTGTTATTGTCAGAAACACTTTTGCGTGATTTACGGTCACTTTGTTTTGCTCTTAATGTCAAGGCTGGCTCATACCACTTGAATGGCCCTTCAGGAGCAGCGGATGGATGTGCGGTCGGTGATGCATAACCTTCAAAGAGTACACGAGCTGTGGTTCGAACAAAACTATGCTGGACTTCCTTGGATAACTCTATCTCTCTTATTTATAAGGCAGTAATTTGGTGTACCGGTTTGTCGGTTTGTCGGGTGTTTCTCTGTCCGCCCGTGAAACTTATGATTACGATAAAGGAGTGATATGGGAACCCAGCTCTACTCTTTATTTCCTTCTTATGTATAAGTAACGTGGTAGGCAGGTCAATGGAATAGTGTGAGCCTTGCGGAGTGAAGTGAGTAATGTAGACTGAAAAGGGTACTCAAAACTTTCGATCCGTACTGGCATCGTGCTATGTATAACTATACTAAAATCGGAGATAATAATGTATTTTGAGACCTTTTTCAATATTGAGCGCTATATAGCAGATGGAGAGGTTAGCCCATAATTGTGCTATGTAAGCAACCTTCTTCGCAGAGGACATCCAGTTTTTCTACCTGAGATTTAAGAGGCGAGAAACACCTGCGTGGGTTAGTCAATCGAATATCGACTTATCACCATCCTAGCTTTTTGCACGAGGTAATCATCTCACCCCCACCCCGGAGCTCCTCTCTTTCTGAGGCTCAGGTTAAAATTATATTCTTTCGTCTAAAACTGTTTCTAAGCACAGGTAAGGTCGGCTACTCCTCCGCTGCACTGTAGCCCTCACTCTTGGATAATAGCGATGCCCCCCTCCCCCTCAACTATATAACTATTTTGTCAAAGTAAAGAATACCCAGCTGGTGTAGTTATAATGCATGGTATGAAGGAGAACGATAAAGGATAAAGTCTGTCGGCGTTAGGGACTGCATGCGACTTCTGTGCAGTGCCTTATGAATGCGTGTGTGCTTCCACAATGGAATTGGTGGCCGGACAATGTGCAACTCATTACCTGTGTCCGTTCAGACGAGTCTAGTTCCAATGAAGGACCTCATTCTGGAGGGATGGGAGGCTTGACCGCTCCGGGCTCGATACCCTGACCATGGGTGTGAAATGTGCGCCACTTGCTACCACACCCTTTATACGTGACCGGTCGGATCGCCCAACTTCCCTCTTTCTTATGAATAAGTTGCAACAGTCAGCTAATCCGCCACTCCTTCTTGGAACGAATGATACTTTTCTGAACACGAAATTCGACACAGGTCCTACAACTTTGACACTGGACCCAAAAGGAGGGAAGCTTGCCATAAAAAGGGTGGTCACGTGGTATGCAGTATGTTACAATGTTTACGCCATATTTAGGTGTCGTTATCAATGGACTCTCTTTTTTCTACGATGATATTTTAAAAGAAACAATCACATAGTGTGAAACTATAGAATTATTCACCAACAATGAGTTCGGAGAACTCACAGGCGGTAATGCTGGGTGAAGACAAACAGCAACTTTGATTAGAATTGTCTGAAATTCCATGAATGAACGATTTTTCTTCTATACGGCTTTATCGGGGTTCTAAATATTCGGCGGAGCTCTTGGAACATTCTGTATTTGTTTGTCGAGGCAACTTCATGGAATAGTTATGGTTTATTTGCATTTCTGAACTTTTTTATTCCAACGCCTTCCCTACGTAACAGGCGAAGAATTATCCATTTCATTCTAACATTTACAACTGAGCTAGCATGTCGGAAGACGATGCCTACACCACTTTAGGGTCTAATCTGATCAATTCAAGGGCAGCTTTAGCTGCAAAATTGTTGTAGATTTTCTCCTGTGTTACCTACATTTCCACTACCACGCGAACTTCTGAACTGTGAACTGTGAACTGTGAACACTGTGAACTTCTCTTACTGTTCCCACAGACAGATATTTTGTTCCTTAACAGTTCATAAAGGGGATTTTATAACTCTGACGAACCCAGCTGAGAACCAGATTAAACTTTAGGTGGTAGGCTGGCCAAGCAGGGAAGCGATACGCATCTCTGAATCTGCAGTATTTCATATGACAATTTTGCTAGTAATGTGTCGCTTATCTAACCAGTAAGTGGATTTGCATCGGTAGGCAAAGCGCAACAACAAAAATATAAGATTAAATCCGAAATAAACCAAAACAGTGCACCTAGCCTTGTCCCTTCCTCCTCCATTATTTCACAACCTTTGGAACCACGTTCAATCGGGGCGAGCTAATTGTAGGTAATCACAGCCTCATAGACTCTTTGCCATTCAAAAAGCCTCTTTCCCAAGAAACATACTCAAATACTGCAGAGAGGCCTACACTGCTCGACGGTCTCCAACATCACTTTTAGTATTGACTTCCCCTCCCCTCATCTCCCCAATTTTCTGATGTCGACAACGATGGCAATGACATTGTGATAGGTAGTCTAGTTCAACACCAATCATTTGAAGAATGGTACTAGATATGAGTCTGCTTTTGCCAGACCCTCCATGGGGATCCTAGTTGAAGTGAGCTTATAATCTACACCACGTAAGCATAGTAAGTCAGAGAACATCTGTCTGTTCATGAGGTTTTTCACTCTATACATTCCCGGATCTCTTTCCTGGAAGTAGATGTGACGGAGAATGAAACAGCACCAGTATAACAACCTTTTCAAAAGCAAAACCCTTCAACCCGACGGCCAACGCACCTAGCAATTTGTGGGTACGGTACCTCTCAACAAATATCTGCAATATCGTTCTAGTGCAACGCAATGATGCAGAATTTATACCAGCTGCGAGTTCGGTGCGGTTCTTCTTGTTATCTCACTAATTCCTGTTTTATATGTGTCACAACCATGCATTGTAATTAGCGGAGTTGTAACTATTTGTGTGTAAAGTTCATTTCGTTGAAGTTTTCCGTTCCAGATTGACTGTGAGGTTATCTACGGTGGACTGCTACAGGTCACATCATGGCCTTACTCGATATCCAGTCAGTTTCTCCTCAGATGAATAATGATTTCAACGTCAGGATACTTAATTATAAAGTTGTCGATGAAGGAAAATACGCAGTAAGTTTACAATAATTGAGGCTTCATTTCTTCCTCTTTTTCAAGCTTTATAGGTTTTCCATTATTAATGCACACTTATAATTATCTTTTCATTCAGTTCTTTTTACGAAATCCTTTTTCACTTCATAATTTCTTTTAACGAAACCATTATTACACATACCTGAGAGGCACACCAGATGTTTTGCCCCCACTTTTTCAGTATAACTCTCATATACTTGGCTCTTTCGCGCTGTAAACAGTTCGCGTAGGGACCAGCTGATATGCTTGGTATCTTGTTTGTTTATTTATTTAATGATTTCGTTTTGCATAATATGTGTCGTAGAAGTGATGCGGCACGAGAATGATATCAGGAAGGGCTCTACATCTAGTTGACTTCGCTAACCCACCTTTCTCCAATTTTCCTGGTCGATATGAGCCGGTAAGGGATCTTTCCAGTTCCACAGCTTCATATCCCCATGGTCACACAGTTCTGCCAGTTCACTATCGTACTAGAATGTTGAGAAGTCAAGTGGTCATATGTAGCTTATTTCTAGAAACGAATTCCTCTATACTACAATCCCGTGATCCTCTAATGTAAACATATAACCTTATTAGATTCGTTGTTTCCAAGGTGAGAATGATGCAAACCAGAAAAATGAATCACGTTTCATTGTGGGTAGAATAAAGTTTTTTTATCATACATATCATTTTTCAAAAGTCATAAATGATTTGGTAATCAAAAATTTGATTCTAGTTGTACACGATACAATTAACAGTCGATGGCTATACGTGGGTAGTTGAACGTCGATATAGCGAATTTGACGCCATGGATATGCGTCGATTCCCGGATCGAAAGAAATCCTTCCTTCCTCCAAAGAAATTGATAAGGAACTTGGTGAGATATACCCATGGTTTTGCTTCTTTTTTGAATTGATGTTTCGTCATATCGTCAGTAATATAATACATTGTTCTTGCCTATATCCAAAGCTTGTCACGTATCCACTTTAAACTGTACAAGCTGTGGAATACAATGATTTATGCAGGAAATATCCTTTTGTTTTTGACACTCGCCATCGTAGAACGCATCCCTTTACCTGATACAACGTGCTAGACACTTAGAGCACATGTTGTGTTACTTATATTGAGTACGTCGGTAAAGATAGAATGAGGGCTGAGAAAATTTCTGGTGAACGATATGAGTTCCCGCGGTTTTATTCTTGACGTATCTAGTTAGTTGGAGAGTTTTAATCCGCGAAAGCTCGTGTTGAATTTTCGTGATTTCTTTTTTTCGCGCTTGACTTTTCTTAAGTGATGATCGGTTGCTCAGATTGTAAATTTCCGAGCGAAACTATCAGCTCCATGCTTTTTCTCACAACTATTTCCTGCGCCATGATTCCGTGGTAGTGTCCCGTTATCCAACTGATCTGCTTTTCACTCCACGCATTTGGTAATCACTTAGTTCGTTGGAAGGGTAGGCTTGCGCACACCAATCATAATCTTGGAACTTTTTACCCGAGGAGAAGCTATTTCATCCGAAGGAAACCGAAGAGATCAACTCATTCTCATTCTTCTTCGTTCTTCGGAGACTGACTCGACTGGAAGAACGAAAAGTCGTTTTTGACGTTTATACTGATTTACATTCTACAGATGGAAGTTTTTATTACGATATTGTAGAGCTTCCATGTGATGACTTTTTATTGGAATGTGCAGCTGTGTCGCCAAGTGTATGTATACTGTGTCATGAGTCATACCCGTATCAAATTACTCCCGTTTGATTATTTCATTTTGTTGTCAATTCTATTCCGCTTCTCTATTTTAATATGTTCGAATCAAACATAGACCGGACTCTGCTATACTGTTCATGTCATAATGCTGTGTTTAATCACCCTTTTTACTCGCAGCACTCAGATCTGTCCTCAGAAACTTTTGAACTAATGTGGTTACCATAGATAACTCTGGTTTCTTTGGTTTTGATCCTTTCTCCTTCAACCCAAGATTGATTATGTTTGTAGGTTCATGGAGAATTATTCTCGTATTGTTTAGGATGCAGAATTTCTGGAGGAACGGCGTATGGAATTGGAAAAATACTGTCGAGCATTACTCGAGTTAGAAGTGTGGTACCAGAAACAGAAGAAAGTCAATTCACTGCCTTTATTGACTGCCAAGTTCTTCGATTTTCATCAATACGTGAGTTCAACCATGTCCTTTTATTTTGGCTTATTTTTGTAGTGTATTATCCGGAACCGTCTTGAGGAGGAGTTTTCTAATGGTACACAAATTCATATTTTTGCAAGAGTCACACACAGTAGATGCATTTAATTCGAGAAATTGAGCAATCTCGTGCCCATTGGTGTCCATTCGTGATGGTCCTGAACTTTGTTGCTTTATCCGAATACTACAATGTATACCGTGCTGATAGGAGTTTCGATTTTAATGGCCAGTTACGCAGAGTAGCTCATCGGTGATTGGGAGCTTTTGTACGGATGGATTTCCATGCATGGTCCCTTCGACGACAAGTCGCTAAATTGCATAAGACCTTATCATCCCGAGGGAGCGTCTTTGTTTTGAAATCGATTTCTTTTACGTAGCACTGCCGAAATATCCACCGGACCTTGCATGTAATGGTATTCGTGCATCAGAAAATGTACAATTGATTGTCGTGAATAGTATCTCGGTAAATTCAAAGGGATTATTTTTGCTGTTGTTTCAATGCTCCAAGAAAAAAAAGCGGCTCCACTTCGATTACAATCCCTGTTCATTGGGGATTCTCGTTCAACTTAAAAACTGATTGACGTCAGGACTGTAGCTCTAATCATGCTGTTTTCGATTGAATTCCTTCTTTTCTGGATTTCCGCTGACATTTCAATGGAATGCTTTTGTTATGATGTATTCAGCTGTACCCGAACATGAGGAAATGCATCACGGAGTTTTAGTGTTGGAGCTTGTTTGCGACAATTGTTACATTGCATTCTGAAGGAGGCATTGTAGATGTAACGATCAAACTTGCGCGATCACCGTTGGATTAATCAACAGGAATCGTTGGTTCGAAATTCGATGCTGTTAGAAACGCAAAGTTATTGTGGTTGTGCGGAATTTCAGCAGAAATGCACGAATTTCTGTAGGTGACTGGGCTAAAAAGTTTGTTTATTCTGGAACATCTGTTCTTCCGTGTTTCTCTTTCACGGTAAACATGGACGGAAAACCTGTTCACGAGGTTTTTTTCATTGTTCGTTACTTACTGACTATTTACCTCTCGCATATTCTATTTGGTAAAGGTAATTCTATCGGTCAACTTC